AATATTATCACCCTATTTAATTGTGTGCCACCCCATGAAGACGTATGGGGGAGAGGAGAAATAGATCCCATTGTTCTTAACCTCAGCACTAGATGGACGTGAGTGATCACTTTCACTCCCCGGCGACTTTAGTCCCAGGAAGAGGAGGCTGAACGGGCCCCAGAGTCGATCTGGACACAGCGATAAGAAGAATCTCTTGCTCCTATGGAGAATGGAACCGTGGAATTCCAAGCCATGACTGAGTTCTCACGGGCAGTATTTGGACTTAAGAAAACAAATTGAATATGGGGAAAATGAGTAATTAGGCGCTCCGCAATTAGTGCGATATTGTTAGGAATGTTGAGTCAAGTGGAAGAACATACACACTTTGTGACGGTCCTTCTGAGGCCGAAACGCCTCGTGTAAGGACATGAAATAGGAGTGGGTGAACCGTCAACCACACGAAGAGCTGCATTTAAGGCTGTGTTTATGTACACACATCAAGCGTTGCAGCAAGGTCTACACATCAGAGATTACTTTTTTAATTGTGGGAAGTTATTCTAGAATATAATTTCAAAAATGAAGGTACAAGAACATGGCTCAGTATCTTTCCTGCTCAAAATGTCTTCGCCAGCCAAATCCCTGAGACCGTGGTTACGAATCATACTCGAAGCATCGATATTGTCGGCGTTTCTTCTGTGTTTGGATTATCCTGTGTGGGTAGAGGCCTTCGGACATGGCTCGTCGCCCGTCCAAGGAGTCCTACCGATTGTCTATAAGATCCATAGTTGCAGATTAATTCTGACGGGAAAGAGACCACAGGGCGTAATTCGTCAAGGTTGAAGAAGAAGAAGAAGAAGAAGAAGAAGAAGAAGAAGAAGAAGAAAAGAAGAAGAGGAGGAAGAAGAAGGAGGAGGAGGAGGACAAAGAAGAAGAAGAAAGTCTAGGACTGGGATTCGAACCGTGTACATCCCGAGTGCTACTTCCCAGATTACCTCCTGTGGTCTTCAGCTGGAACCAACATGTATGTATGTAACGGTGTGCGAGAACCAAAGGCGAGTCGAGCTTGAATTGGCGTGAATTCACATTTTAAATTGAGGAACGCCATTCCCTCCACCTGCTCCAACCTCCCCCTTCCCCTTCCCGCAACATCAGTCTCGCTCGGAATGAAGCAATTAAACAATGGAATGTGGCGAAGCGAATGGAAGGACATGTGACGTCATTCTCAAGTTGCTGTTCTATATTTGAAGTTAGCTCTATTGACTTAGGGCAACAACGGCTAACCTGCCATTTTGAGGCGAATACGGGCGGTAGGTTCCGTTCCAATGGAGTAGGAATGTTTTTAAAGTTAATTTTGTAAACATCGCTGACGTTGATGTTTTATCACAGATATAAACCAACTTTTGCATGACTAATCGCAGTACATTACATGGACTCGGAAAAGAATTCCTTTTGTAGGCCCGTTATTTAAATAATTACCGTACGGCAACAACTCTGTGACCTGTAGTCTGCAAGCGAACTATACCGACCGAGCGACCGCCGCTTGTCAGCGAAGTTAGTGCCAACTTTAGCGGATAGAGGGTGTCATGTGGTCAGCACAACGGATCACCACGGTCGTTAATCTAGGTTTTTAAACCGGAACTTTCCGTACGAAATATAACGAAATTTAAAATTAGTATGGAAGGAACTGTTGTTGTGTCTTCAAATGAATGTAAATTCACAGTTTTCATTTTTCGAAGGTTGCAAATAAATTATATTATTCTCTTTTCTCTTATCTCCGCATACAAATTTCTATGCCAATTAGCCTAAACAGATTTATAAAAAATGGTGACGTCGAATTGTGTATTATGTATGAAGGTTATACGATCATTTTTAAACCCAATTTATTCAACTTGTCAATTCAGGTTCTTTTAGTTTTTAAGCGTATGTTTTAGTTCAGCTACGAAACACAATATCCTGCCTCATTTTACATATGAACTTCATTTCATCTCCTTTTTTTTTCCATCAAAATGACTACAACGACCGTCTCACTTGTTCCGTCAATAATTAGTCATATTTTAATTGGCTATCATGGACACAAAAATTAAACGAGAAAGAAGTATCCTTAATATATAAAATTCACGAGCACACAATAAAAAAGTTCCCTAATGATGTTCCTATTGTTACTCTTTCAAAATTTTGAATAATTGGGGAGAGAAAAAAACGTGAGTTTATTTCGTGAGTGTATTGGGCCTATCTAGACTAATTGGAAAACTCTTGAACTGTACTATCGCTTTTATTACTACTTCTTCTAAGGTGCCACGCTTAAATTTTTAACAGTTAATGGGATTCGTTAGTGGCCTATTTGTATTGTTTAACATCATGTATGGAAAAAGAGCACACAGATAAACAAAAGTCTAGAAAATATAATGTAATAAAATTTGCACATGCAGCGATTAAGAGCGGATTTAAAACGCCGGAAAATACTTCAAGACAGAAAGACCATTAAGCCTTTCCATGTTCATTTGTGCAATATTTTACGAAACTTTGTCTGTCAGCATATTTCCCTCGTAATTTTTAATTTGTATCGTTGAAAAGACACAAATATTTAGCTTTAATTACTCGGAGACGGCGGGACACGTTTCTTTTGCTGTTCTTCACAAGTAGCCATTAAATCCAGATCTAGTTTGGAAGGAAGCGGTCAGTACGATTCTCATATCTGAACTTCATCGTCTGTTCTATCAAATATCAATAAACTATCCAGCTGGATGATGACAGCGTAGGTTGGTACACCACAGGCGCTGTAGAAATATATCTGGTTACCGCCTTCGCTGAAAGTTCTTTTGAGTCCCGCTATCTGATTGTCAAGATCCTCAAGATATAGTACCTTTAAGTAGGTCACGATGACCTCTGTTCAGATCCTTTCTTACAGTTCATGGTCATGCTAACCGCTACAGTTGAAGGATCTGCGTTCTATAACCCAAGAATCAGCCAGCAGTTAGCCATCTGTCTTGAAAAGATAATACTTTAATTAACAACTCTTCTGTAGGCATATCTGCGTTCATATAACCCGCTATTTTGTCATATCTCGAGCTAGTTGATTTCGTTTTACAGTTTCTCAAAGAAAAATCCCTTTAGATATCGTAACACAGAGTAATTTGGGTTAATTATCTGTTTATGCCAGTCGGCTGCTGATAGAGTTAATGTAGAGTAGAAATAATTTAGACCCACTGCATAGTATTGTAGACCTTCGTTCAAATTCATTAATTCTTTAAAGCCTGAAATTCTTCTAAATATAAAATAGTTCAATTGGAATCTGTTCGCTAAGCTCCTAGCGAATATGGCCGGTCACAGGTCATCGTGTGGCTGTATGCAGGACGCTAATTTGTATTCCGTAAAAAAACATTCGCGGAATAAGAACGTTTGGCCAAGGAAGTTAACCCAAGAAGTAACATTATAAAGACCCTTTACACCTTAGCCAAAACAATTTTCGAACTGGTTTATTTGAATGTGGTAACATAAATAATGAGTACTTATATAAAAATTCAGGCCGCACCTCACAGAAAACACGCTACGCCTCAATTACACAGGTCAATGTGGTAATGCTGCTTAGGGAAGTAATACGAAACATAGGTCTGCACTCTATCGCCAAAATGTGGAGATTTGGGATATTAAAGAATTGTAATGTACATAGAAAAATTGTTTTTCGAAATAACATGATAATTTTAGGAAAAATCGCAGATTTTCACTAGGTATATTTATATTGGCGGACTATCTGTAAAGATGGTAATGGAATTTCGGGCCCATAAAAGGCATGAAATATTTTCACTGCCTGAGTCACTGCTGTGTTATTAAGAAACACACTGGTCCATAGAATTGTATTTATCCTCATGTTTCTTCAGTATTTTCTTTTATGCAGCGTTTTGGACCACAATTTTGAACGCATTTCCCATCCTGCCTATGGTGTTACATGTCCAACCCATCTTAACACTCTTCGATTTCATTTTTCTAATAATATTCAGCTAAAAGCATACATGTAAAAAGACAGTACCCTGATTGTTTACTCTATGCAGTGTGGAATGTGTATTGTGAGACAGTACACTGATTATTTGCTCTGTGCAGTGTGGAATGTGTATTGTGAGTCGCATCATACATAGATCTGTATTGTCTGTCGAAAGCATCTTCACTGGTACGTCGTACCGATAGTAGGCAACATTACGGTAGAAAGTTGCTGTGTTTCCAACTCGATATCCGGGACAGTGATTTTGGTTCACGACGTACTTTGAAATGCAGTCTAGTGCGGTCTAGTGTCTCCCTACTGGTAACGCAATAAGATACGTCACTATCTGACAATGATACAATGATATACGCCACTACCTGATGGTGACGAAGTAACAAGATACGACACTATCTAGTGATGATGCAGCCTCGAAGATGTTTTAGACACAGTATATCCCATTTTTAATGTATGAATATCAAGGCCATTTAGACACGCAAAATCACACACGAAGAACGTGTTAGGAAATTATCTGTACCTCATTCGAGTAGAGCTTTCTGCTGTTGTTACGTGACATCTCAGTCTCTTGAACCTGTTACAGCCAAATTAACGGTAGCAAGATTGCAATCAGAGCTCCCTTTGCTACCATAAAAATACACTATTGTGTACAGCTTCCATTTCGAGATATCGAATTCGTCGAAATAGTATCGATCGGTGAACTGATGTCCTGCCTCTACTCATAATACACAAAACTAAAAACAGAAGCTTTGTAAGATACATATAATGTGCTGAATGTCGAATTTACAAGTATGTGAATAAAAATTGAAGGTAAATATGCTGAAATTCTATACAATATGGCTCATCACTTCTTCTAATAATATAAATACTAGACACCTATCTCTCTAGGTCCTCTATATCTCCCGGGCGGAGATTTGAATCTCGTACCCTCGTGCCAGTAGGTACCAACCTTATGCCATCTGATCGATAATTTTACTGATCGCTACAGTGGCCTTGCAGATTAGTAAGCTACGAAACAAGGTAACCAGACAGGGTGGTGAGATTAGGGAACTGCTTTTATATTTAATTTAAAATACTGTTGGACTGACAGGTTATTTTGGCTCCTTTGCTTATATGTTAAGGTAGAATATATAAACGCACTAGCATTGCCTTCCAGCATATGATGGCTATTGTGTGAGGTGGAAGACGATCCAATAGGAAGCGATAGGAAGTAATGTTAGCTGGAAAATTGGAAATGGAGGAGTCTTTGTGGTTGTCTGAATTTGCGGCAATAAATATGATAGAAGTTGTGAAAGAAGGTTTTGCAGGTAAGGACGATATGACAATCAGTGTGTGAATTGTTCATGAGAAAAGTTGTATTTGACGACATAATTATGTTAGGGTAAAATATAATGTAGGATGAATATTCCCCACCAAATCACATTATGACGGTCTAGTGTTGACCATGTTGCTGCACAGTTTAACGTAAACCCAAATTAGAACTAAACCAGCCTAATTAATTTGGATTAGTCTGTTAATGTACGTGTGTGTGTGTGTGTGTGTGGGATAGCGAGTAGACACCATGCACTGTATTCTACCTTTGTACAAGCAAAATGAATAATTTGTAAAAAGATAAACTCTGTAGTATATAATAAGTTAAATGCTTTCAATTTATGTATGGTAATTTTAATATTAGTCGGTCACGGTAGCCCACTTGGAAACCGGGATCGTGGGTTCGAATCCCACTCAGGACATGGATGTTTAGTTTGTGTGTGTGCTTTTTTCTGTTTGTGTAGAGGTAGAGGCCTTGCGACTAGCTGATCACCCACCCAAGGAGTCCTACCGAATGTGTAAGATCTAGAAAAAACCAAAGTGAACGGAGAAGTTCATAGAGGTAGGCCTAGGCCCACTGGGGCTGTAGTGCCAAGGGGAAAAAAAAATTAATATTAATTTAGCATATAATTTACCTCATTGGACAGTGGTCTCCTAAAATTTGGCAAGACATAAAGGGAACTATTCCATATATTTTTATGCATATTAATGATGTAGTAAAAGAAAATCTGGGAAAACCAGACCATTTGTGCTGCACCTTTTCTGCCATTCTAACCCATCCTAATAAGCCTTGCCTTCTAATGGCGGGACTAACTTACTAAAGAACTGATATCATGGAAAGAAGGCCCAAAGATGGTAGGAATGATGCTTGAGGCTTCATGAAGCATAATTTAATCTAATTGTCACATGTGAGTGTTACAATTACTCAACCCACTTTGACGCCAAATATCTATGAAGTACACTACAAAACTTCATTTAAAATGTGAACTGACATTCTGCCTTACTTTACAGTAAGAGCTAGTTATCTGAAGTGGCATAACTAAATGAAACCAAAGCAAGACTGAGGGGACAGAACCTGCCTTAGAATGTGATATGGCTTGGAACCTCATGTGCTCTGCACTTCAACCAGCTGTAGAAAATTCAACTTCATTTACATGTTATAAAAAGTAAGTAAAGGTATCCCTGTAACAGGCCTTGGAGGCCCATAGGGTTGTGAGATGTTGAGGTTCCCACATTTTCTAGACAGTCGGCAAGGTTGTCAACCCTATGCGCCGGCCGCCCTTTACTCCCAAGAATATTCCTGGTACTCATTTCTGTTAGAGGCTGAGTTGACCCCAGGGCCGTGGTGTGGCTGGAGGGATTAGGTAAATTGAAAAAATTCAATGACCTCATCGGGATTCGATCCTGTGTCCTTCTGGCTTGTAGCATAATGCCTCAACCAACTACGCTACCACGTGCCCCTTTTTCCATGTTATAACCTTCCAAATTATTTTTGGCATAAGCATGTATATTTCCAAAATGTGCTTCAGTGAAAGTTGCAGAATATAATTTGGGGCCCTTGCCACAATACCCCATTGTACCTGCAGTCAGTTGATGTTTGCCTAGTCAGTATACAAGTTGTAATTGTGTGTGGGTACTGGTGAGAGTACCGATGATGAGTCTTAGAGCATTTAGTCATCTGAGTCAATGAAAACAACAGAAGGCGACATTAAAGATAAGTTTTCCTCAATTTTTGTGCCTCTTTAGTTTCATTATTATTAGTGTAATGGCTGATGTTGAGATTCTGGTCTCATGAATTCCTCTGTACAGGTCTCCCTTCTGTGTAGGTTGTGATACAGATGGCAGTCATAATGCCAATAAATGGCTGAGAAACTCTTTGTATTCAAAGCTTGTTCAGAAAATGCAAGAAATTAAACTACTATAACCAAAGACCATGCAGTGATTAAATTTATCAATATATGCAGTTCATACAAAAAAACAGTAAAACTTCTTATTCTAACATAGATAGAATTTAAATAATATTTGTATTAAAGCATAGGTGGGGCCTTTCTGACCACAGCGTGGTGCATACTCAGGTTGCAGATGGAGGAGACAGCCTCCAGATATGGAGGGTAGCTGCGCATGTACTGAATAGGCTGTCACAAACAGGCAACAAGGGGTGGCCCTCCAGCTTGGGTGTTGGGCATGGGGCTAACAACTCCTCACCATAAAAAATAAGATTGTTATAAAATGTCATGAAGTGTCTGTATTGGTGTGAGACTTGGTCTTTGACATTAAGGGAGGAACATAGACGGGGGGGTGTTTGAGAACAGGGTGCTGAGGAGAATATTTGGACCAAAGAGAGATGAAATGACAGGAGGTTGGAGAAAACTGCATAATGAGGAGCTTCATAACTTCCAGTGTTCTTCAAGTATAATGAGAATGTCAAGGAGGATAAGATGGTAGTGCAGGTAGCATGAATTGGGGCGAAGTGGAATGTATATAACAAATTGGTGGGAAAGCCAGAAGGAAAGACTCTACTAGGAAAACCAGGATGAAATTAATCTTAGAGAGATAGGATGGTGTGTATGTACTGGGTTCATCTGGCTCAGGATAGGGACCAGTGGAGGGATCTTGTGAACACAGTAATGAACCTTCAGGTTCCATAAAATATTGGGAAGTTCATGAGTACCTGCATAACTGGCAGCTTCTCAAGAAGAGCTCAGTTGCATGAAGTTGGTTACCAGAGATGGTGAATAGATCCTTTGAAAATATTTCAGAGTTCAGGTATTTTGTGGAATGACACAAAACAGAAATTAAGAGCAGATTAAATTAAGTATGCTTGCTGCCATTCAGCTCATAGTCTCCACTGGCTATCAAAATGATTAAAATGAGCAAAACTATAATTTTCCTCTTGTTTTGTACGGGTGTGAAACTTGGTCAGTCATTAATGGAAAAACATAGACTGAGGTTGTTTGAAAACAGGGTGCTGAGGAGAATATTTGGACATGAGAGGAAATAATGCAAGGCTGGAGAAAAATTTAAAAATTCATTCATTCATTTTTAATTCATCCTCTAGATACAGTGATATAGGACATGTCACTCCATGTTTTATGCAATTATTGAAATACAATAATGATTATAAATATAAACTTAGTAGAAATATAACCTATTCTATGCATCTGCTTATCAGTAGCTAGTCCTGAGATAGGGACTAGCTCTATCTATTGGACCCAACTGAGTAGGTTTTACCTGAGCACGGGTACAGAATCCAGTCTCTGAAATGTGTTTTCAAAAATAAACAGAACTTTTTTTAGAAAATAGATAGGATGATGGATTATGTCCATGAACATACAACTTTAGATGTTATCAGTATTAGAGAATTCTTCATTGAAATGCTATATGGAATAATAGCAACCCTTAATAAGTAAGTCCTTCAGTTCCTTTTCAAAATGAATGTTGTTGCCAATTTGTTTCATATTGTTAGGCAATGTATTATATAGAAGATACAACCTGCTACTTATGGTTTACTGTTATAAAGTTCTAAATTATGTACATGTCTATGATAATCATCTGTTTTATATATATGTACTTGTTTATTTACAATGCAGTTACACTTTTCTTTTGCATATAAGATTGTTTCTTGAATCTGTAATGAATGTAGTGTTAATATCTTTAGATGCCTAGAACTCTCTCTCTGCATGATTCGAGATGTTTTATCCATGCAGTGTACCTTGCAGCCCTTTTTTATAGGCTAAATATTCGGCTTGGCACTCTGTCCCCATGCAGCGATTTCATATGACAGAAGCAGATCAAACCATAATGCAACACTCTTCTTCCATTTAGATCAAATATTGTAGCAAATCTGTTAATTTTAAAATGTTATGGCTTATCATTCTGTAGGTTCTTTCAGTGTCTACTTCCCAGCTTAGGTTACCATCAGCTATAACCACCGTGAAATTAATATTTTTATTTCAGTTATTCCCCCCTTCTTTATCAGAATTTTTAATTTACTTTCCTGTGTACAGTTTCTTTTTGTCTGGGGGAGAATGTAGTGTGTTTTGATTGGATTTATAAATAAATTCTTAAGCTTCATAATGTATATGAACTGCCTCATATAATTAGGATAATTGAATGAAGGAAAATGGTAAGAGCGGGGCATGTGATGACATGCTTAGAAGAAGCAAAAAATGTGAATGTTTTTTTTTGGCAAAACCTAGAGGAAAGAGACTGTGGAAGACCAAGCATAAATGAGAGGCTAATATTACAATTGAAGAGTACAATCTTCTGGGATTGCCACTTGCTTTCACGCAGGTATCATGCTCGGCATATTCAACCATGAAGATGAAAGCGACATGTTCCTCTTAAACATCGGTTGACTGTCAGTGGACCACATGGCGTTATATCCCAGAAGACAGTAGCGGATAGAGGGTCTCGCGTGGTCAGCACAACAAATCCCCACGGCGTTAATTTAGGCTTTCTAGACCGGACCTCAAATCCTACAATATTAAAATTGTAGTGCAGCTGGGAGGGTGTGGACTTGATTCGTTTGGTTCAGTGAAAACTTTAGGGCATTGTATGAATATTAATTCATTTATAATTTCGAGGAGAGTTGTTAGATGGGAAGCTCAAAAATATCTCCAGTTTTTTAGAATCCAAAATACCCTAAAAATTCATCCTTGAGTGCATTACTAGTGTTACCTACGAATTGAAATCAGCGTTGTGGAAATTGTGGATGTGATGTCATACGATTCCAACCAGTAGCGTTTTGAGCTCTTGTACTGCTGTAGATGAGATTAGTTCATGTCATTTTAAAATGTCAGTTTTGATGGTGTGGTGTTTGTAGCCGTTTATTCACTTTTCCCTTTTAATAAGTGTGTAGTTTAGTTATATTACTGGCAAGGATTGATGTGTAATAGTTACATTGGGTTTTGGAAATAGCTGCACATTTTCCTGTACTGGGTTTTAGAAATAGCTGTACATTTTCCTGTGTTAGAAGACCACATGCTAGATTGTGTTTCGTGTTGCTATGTGGATGATGATTAAGGTTCTTACATGAACGAATATTAAAAGTGCAGCCTTCTGGGGCAATTGCTGTGTGGTCTGATAAGTTACTAAAGTTTTAGAGGACTGTAGAGTATTTCTGCATTTTATTGTACGTACCTTGACAAAAGTCAGATAATACAAATGATGTTGGTTGGAAGCCGGGTTTGGGTTCCTTTATCTTGTTTCTCTGCTAATTGTCATAAGCTCTGAAAGGGTAGGGCAGTTCTGTGATTTTTCCAAATGGCACCCACAGGTGGTGTTCATGTGATATCAGTAGACTAAAATTCAACCTTCCATATATGTCCCTCTCACAATATACAGGGTGGGGCGTATGAACCTTTCCGATTTCAAAAATATGTGGAATAGAAATAAAGAAAGATGCAGGCAAAATTATTTTATTATTTGAAAGGACATAGAATGCAGTTTTATTTTAATGGGGTTTAAAAATAATATCTTCCAAATGGCCACCTCCGTTTTCCATACACTGACAGAGTCTGTTTCTGAAGTTTTCCATGACTCTACGAGTCATATTCCATGGAATAGCGTTGATTTCTTCAGTGATGGCAGCCTTCAGTTCATCGATAGTTCGGGGGCGATGTGTGTACACCTTTGCCTTGAGGTAGCCCCACAGAAAAAAATCGCATGGTGTTCTCATTTGAAGGAGAAAGCTCTAGATCGCATTAAATGGAGGAAATGTTTTGGAAGAGACTGTGGACCTGTCATCTGACAGATTACTGATGAATGAATGAAACTTGGTCACTCACATGAAAGAGAAACATAGGCCTGCCTAACTCAGTCTTAAGTTTTGTTCATTTCATGAACTGGCCCATTGTACTCCCATTGTTTGTGCAGTAGCTGGTGAGCGCAGAATATCTTATCAGTAGTTGATCAGTTACATTGACATTCCTGATAATGTCTGCACGTGGAATTAACCTTGAAGGAAGAATATTGGTTAAATTGTGTGTACAATAAATAATGACATGCCTCAGTAATTACTAGTCAGTTGTATTGCCGGTTTTATTTGTGTTCTTGAGACTGCACAGTAATGCTTCAGCAGTCCACAGGAACTCTATTTAGAACTGTCATTTGTTCTGTTACAGCTTGAAGCATGTCAGTATGGAAGGGTTCGTCAGTGCACACTGGTTGGGAACTGAATCCTGAGTAACTATGCAGGCATGGCTGCAAGATAGCTATTTCAGGTAGGTAAATGGTGTTCTAAATTGTAGGCTGGGCAAAATCATGACATAAAGGTAGGTAACAGATGTTTTGAAAATGTGGCACAGTTCAGATATTTGGGAATGGCTATAACAAAGCAGAACCTGATTCAGGAGGAAATTAAGATGAGATTGACCTCGGGTAATGCTTGCTACCATTCAGTCCAGAACCTTTTGTCTGCTCATCTGCTGTCTAAAAACACAAAAATTAGAATGTACAAAATTATAATTTTGTCTGTGGTTCTGTATGGACGTGAAAATTGGTCTCTAACATTAAGGAAGGCACATAGAATGAGGGTGCCTGAGAATGGTGTTGAGAATATTTGGACTGAAGAGAGATGAAGTGAGAGGAGGTCGGAGAAAACTGCATAATGAGGAGCTTCATAACTTGTATGCTTCTCCAAGTATAATTAGAATGATCAAGTCAAGGAGTGTGAGATGGGCAGGGCATGGGCACGAATGGGGAGAAGAGAAATGCGTATAGGATATTGGTAGGACAGCCAGAAGGAAAGAGACCACTGGGAAGACCAAGGCATAGGTTGGCTCCTCAAGAAGGTCTCAGCTCCGTGAGTGAGTGAGTGAGTGAGTGAGAAGGGTTTTCTAAAATTTGTCATCTCATCATGATTTTGGTTAAAATTGAACAGTAATAATGGAAACTTTAGATGAAAATCTTTGTGCATTTCTGCATGCAGCTTGAACATAACTATTAAAATATTTCGGAGATATTGGGTTTTTGGACTTTATCCATCGTCCCGGTTTTTAAGAAAACTAATAAAAACATGACGTTTCGGAAACTGGATCTGTTTCCATCCTCAGGTGAGGGAAAAACACCTATTCTGTTGGGTCCCTTAGAAAGAGCTAGCCTCAGTCATGTTTTTATTAGTTTTCTTAAAAACTGGGACAATGGATAAAGTCTGAAAACCCAATATCTCTGTGTGTTATACACCATCGTCAGAATCCTATAGTAACTACTTATTAAAATATTTATTGGGGTGAGGAATAAGAATAAGTACATCACATTGCCAAGAGATATTGCTTTCCTTCACAGCATCCTGTGTGATGGGTACCAGGGGCTCTTTCCCCAAAGGTAAATCAGCTAGGGGGTGAAGCTGACCATTCACGTCCACCTAGTGCCAAGGTTTAAGATCCATATCACCCTGCTATGAATACATTTCCTTACTTGTTTGAACATGCTTTTTCCGTGAACTTCATGAGTTAGGTGCTGTGTCATGGTCGAAACAACTGGTAGTTTCATGGACTTTGCATTAGTATCGAGGGAACATAAGTTCAAAATTGTCGCATGAAGAAAGTTTATTAGATAACTCAAATCACGTTTCATTTTAGAAGCTGGAATCATGTGTGAAATGTTTCGTAACCCTTTGGAAGGCACAGCTCAGTTACTTGGGAACTGCCTCCATGAGTGTGGCACATTTCTTTGCCACTACGTGTTTAAGAATTTCTTGCTTCTGTCTTACTGAAGATATTGGCCCCTCATAAATGCTGTGTTATTCTGCCATCTGTTTGCTTTAGAGTGATATAAAAGCAGAAAATTTGGCATACTAAAGCGAGAAACTTGTGGTATTCCTTGTTTTAATCATTTCCTACATCCTTTCTGAACTGTAGTCTCCGACTTCCATCCAGCTGTTCTACAGCATGGAGAATATTTTATGCAAGACTTCACAAAAGCATAATAATCTTTACTACAGGTATTAGCACCATTGGAGATATCTGGAGTTGGTTGAGAAGTCTGTGGGTGCTGCTACATTGAAGCAGTTGCAGGAGCTTGAGGCAGCAAAGGTTTAACCTTTAAAGGATGAGTGTCTGACATATTGACACCCGAATGACTTGGTAAGCAGCTGAGTGTCCAATATATCAGCTGTCCAATATCTTCTTATTGAGGAGCCCTTTTGGCGCCTTGTGTGTGCTTAACGCAAACGAAGCCTGGCATTTTACTCTGCAGGGTTTCAGCAGTTTATATATCATTAGATTTACATCATAGTAGTCACTGGCAGATTCTTACCACCCATCTATAATTTTCTTTGTTCATGTGCATATGATGTAGTTTTATGAATAGTGAAGAAAAAGTGAGGAGAATATAGTGTTGAGTTGGTTGAGGCACTATGCTACAAGCCGGAAGGTCACTGGGTTGATTCCCGATGAGGTGGATTTTTTCAATTTACCTAATCCTTCCAGCCGCACTATGGCCCACTGGTCGACTCAGTCTCTAACAGAAATGAGTACCAGGAATCTTCCTGAGGGGTAAAGGCTGGCAACCTTACCTCCATCTGTGAGCCGATTGTCTAGATAATGTGGGACTCTCAACGTCTTACAACACTTTGGGCTTCCATGGCCTGTTACAGGGATAGATTTACCGTTACTGAATCAAATATTCAGGTGTTCAGTAGAAGATCAGGTTCCACCTTATGCTTCTCTCCTTTCCCAGACTGCAAGTACATTCCATAGAACAGTGATTCGCAATCAGTATGAAAGAACTGTCGAAGCCTGCACGTTGTTTAGTTGATTTAGCATATGTGCAAGATGATGCTGAAGAGCAGTACGCTGACATCACCTTGGAAGGAGAGCTCGAAGATACCAGGCTTCAGGATCCATCACCTGCTGAAGAAGTTTCAGAGTGGTGCTACAAGCTTCCCTCTGATAAGGCAGACATGCACCAGTTTGTGGGAGAACAGAAGGGGCTAAAGAAAACCACTGCTACCAACATTACTGAAAATTCACAACCTCATGATTTCTTCTTGCTGTATTTTTAGACCATCATGGCAGTAATTGTACAAGAGACCAACTGACATATGCAAGAAGATGCATGAGCAAAAAATAAAACCGGTTATTCCACACTCTCGGTAGGTAAGCATAAATGATCTATACACGTTTCTTGCAGCTGTAGTTCAGATGGGTCACAACTACAAGCCCAGTATGGAGCTATACTGGACCAAAAGTGAACTGTATCGCATTCCTTTCTACTCCAGTGTGATGCCACATGATCATTTTCTCATAGTTCTGAAGCATCTGCATTTTGCATACAGTCTGAAAACAATAACACAAGACACAGAAGATCCAAATTATGACATTATGGGATGTCAAGCAAACATTTGACATCCAACAGATGAAGTAATGGTAAAATTCAAAGGGAAAGTCATCTTTTGCCAATACACCCCCCTCCCAAAAAAAAAGATTTGGCATAAAAATTTATAAACTTTATGACAGATTGGGTATACATATGGCATGAGGGTGTACCTGAGAAAACGAATTGTGACTAGCGCAGCTGTTACAGCCACACCTATATATAAGTGCTGGAATTGGTTCAGAAAGTTGGAGTGGTTGAACACAAAATATCCACGGACAATTACTTCACCTCACCGAAACTTCAGTAATCTGCACCACAGGAAAATAAATACATGGAGTACAGTTCATGACAACAGGAAGGAGATGTTGCCTAATTTCAGTCCTGACATCTGCTGCTGAAAAGAAGAGACCCTGTGTCCAGATTGTGGGAAAATCCAAGGGCTGTGTGCTGGAAGGACAGATGAGAAGTTTATTTCGTTTCTGATACGTGCATTCCACCTGCGGAAGGTAACTTCTAGGAAAGCGGGAAAGCTGTGAAGCCTGTGATGAACGAAGACCGTACAACCCGCATGGGTTATGCTGACCTGATTGAACGGATGGCGAACAGCTATAGCATAAGTAAGAAAACCTGGAAGTGGATGAGAACACTCTTCTTCCATTTGTTGGACTTAACCATTCTGAATTCACACATTCTTTACTAGTCTCGTGGGGGAAATATGACCCATCCGAAATTGAGGGAGCAGCTAGTTGGGAATTGCTATGTTTTTTCCCATGAAGAGAATACCGAAATCTGTGGTGTGCCAGGGGTTCAGCCGAGCAGTTTGGAGACTCAGATAGGCCGACCTGACGTAAAACATTCTCTGCACTGGCCAGCCAAATTGAAAGAGCATTGTTGTTGTGTGTTCCAAATGAAGAAACAAAGCAAAGAAACGGTCTACTACTGCAAGAAGTGTGACTGGTCTCTGTGTTGTCCCATGCTTCGAGTGGTGACATACATACACCCAACTGTGACCGACTGTACTCGAATTCTATAGAGTTTTGGAATATGGGCTGGAACCGCGCATGTGGCTCATGCAGACATCAGAGGATGACACAATCATATTTTCATGTAAGTATTCATTCATAAATTTTCTATAGGTACTTCATTTACAGAAGAGCATTTATTTTGGCACAGATAAACATAACAGAATTCAGACACAGAATGCTAAAGCATTTCAGAAGTTTAAGGAATTCATTCCTCTTATTATATATTTGTTTTTTCTGGTCTGGAGCAATTGTTATTTCAAACTAGCACTTTAAATTCTGTCTGAGTGCCAGACTAGGGTTTACATGCTCCATGCTTATGGAGTTAAGGAATTTCACACACTGAATATTATGATTCCAGATATTTTGTTTAATTATGTAACCATTATAAAAGTTAAACAAATGCAAGTAATATTGAAATCCATGCAGCCAAATGTGAGGTGAACTGTTTTCCTTGCCTGCAAAAAGCTGAACTCACAGATGTAAGAGTTTGTGATGATGGTATATTAATACAGTTACTCTTGGTTGAGGCACTGTGCTACAAGCCGGAAGGTCGCAGGTTCAATTCCCGATGAGGTCATTGGATTTTTTTCAATTGACCTAATCCTTCCAGCCACACTATGGCCCTGGGGTCGACTCAGCCTCTAACAGAAATGAGTACCAGGAATTAATTAAATAATTTTCCTGGGGAGTAAAGGGCCACCAGCACATAAGGCTGACAACCTTACCGCCATCTTTGAGCAGATTGTCTAGAAAATGTGGGACCCTCAACGTCTCACAACCGTATGGGCCTTCATGGCCTGGTACAGGGATAGCTTTACTTTACTTTTACTGGGCATCCCTGCTTGTCCAATGACAGTTTCCACATAGAATGTGTTCTTTGTGATATGTAATCATTGCATGACCTTGCAAGGTAGAATACACATTTTTAAAAATTTCCAGGTTTTTGCCATCTTTAGGTTTTGAGTAAAATATGATGAATATTTATTTTGGACACTCCAAAACTTGAAGCTTCGAAATGTGCTTTCGTCGTAGTAATTATGCAATCCCAGAAATGGTAATTAAAATTTTTGAACTAAATTGTGTAACTTTCAGCTGAAGAAAATGGCTGACCTGGATGAATATATTATTGAACCATTTGGACCTTATAACTATCAGTATTCTTTTCTATAATTATTGTTGTGACATTATCTGTACTTATTTTCTTATTCAGTAATACATACATATATGAAACTTCCATTCTGTATTCTTGTCCTTCACCTGAAATTGACAGTTCCGGACATGAAATCAGATCCTGTGTTTATAATTTTCATTGGATGCATCCTGTTGTGTTAAATATATAAATTTCTTTATTAAACTCTGTCACAACACAACAACAAAACAGTTGGGGTTTAACAGGATTTTGCTATATGTTTCGGCTTTTTAGAAGCCATCATCAGGCAAGTACACAGTGTACACAGTGCAAAGTGCCGGATGAATCTACTGTGCGCAAAAATTACGTGAAGCAGTGTTACGATCTTACAATTGAAAGCATTAGAGATAAGATTCAAGATAATTTTGTGTGGGTATCAATCGACGAAACACAAGATTGTGAGGGACAGTTTATTACAAATTGTATAGTTGGATCCCTTAATAAGAATGAACCCTCTATCCCATATCTTCTTGCGGTAGAGCAATTTGAAACCACAAATAGCTCTGCTGTTTCCGAATTTTTTATCAATTCCATGAATTTACTATGGCCGAATGGCATTCAGTATGAGCGCATATTGCTCTGTGTGACTGATGACGCAAGTTATATGATGAAAGCCGGTACTGTTCTTAAAGTTATATTTCCAAATATGACACATTTGTCTTGCCTTGCCCATGGGTTGAACCGAGTTGCAGAAACAATTCGTGCAAATTTTCCACTTGTTGACAAGTTGGTGTCTTCTGTGAAGAAGGTATTTGTTAAAGCGCCATACAGAAAAGAAGCCTTTAAAGCAGTAGCACCGAGCGTTCCACTTCCGCCAGAACCAATTTTAACGCGCTGGGGCACGTGGCTGTGTGCAGCGAGTTATTATACCGAACATTTAGAAACAGGAATGTCGTGAATACATTTGATCCCAAAAGTGCAGCGTCAATTCAAATTGTCCAAGATGTACTAAAAAACACAGAACTAGAAACTAATCTTTCCTATATATCTGCTCACTTCTCTCAATTTCCATCTGCCATTTCCTCACTGGAGGCAAGCAATAGCAATACTACTTTGTATCAGTCGTTAAGTGTGTTCAAAACCACTGTTTCCAAATTGAATTCAGTTACTGGAAGAGTTGGTGAAGTAGTGAAGAAAAAAGTACACAGCATTCTTTAAAAGAATCCAAGATATGGACAAATTTGTGAAATTGAAGAAATTTTAGCTGGTAAACGTACTGAACTGCCAAGCAGAAAATCACTAAGAGTGGAGCAAATAGCAGCTTTTGTACATGTGCCCGTAAGTTCCTGTGAGATGGAAAGAAGTTTTTCGCCCTATAAGGACATCTTACAAGACAATAGGAGGCGACTAACTATGGAAAACCTAAAACATTTAGTAATTGTGAACTGCAACAGAAGAGAAGTTGAAAGTTTGGAGAGCTAAATGTGAGTACAATTGATTCTTTAAATATGTAATAAAATATGTTGGCTTTGTTGCATGATTTGTATTTAAGTTTAGCTTTTTATTGCAAGTGAATCATTCAGTGATTACATAAAATGAACTTAAATATTGATTTGTTGGTCTTAAATTAATGTAAAATAATTTTAATATTTAGTATACATTTTTGTATGCATATTTTGGAAGTTTTTCATGCATAAATGCATACATATTTAAGGTATTATTAGGGCATAAAAATCCGGTCCCTGATCATAATATAATAATATAAAACATAAAATACAATGAAAGATAAGTTACACAATAAAAATATAATTAAGAACTATACATATAATTATATGTATAGTTCTTAATTATATTTTTAATAGGACCTATTATAATAGGTCCTATTAAGGTAGGTTGTTGCAATCGTAATGTTATGACAGTGTTTTTGTGGACATATGGCGACAGTTTTCTTGCTTGTATACATGTATGACGTGGTAATAATGCTTGAAGGCCCATTGGTATGCATGCAGTATTATCTAATTGTGATAGTATTTAACAGGTATCTCTATTTACTTGTATTATGTCCAGTCTGGTAGGAAGGTAGACTGCTGGCGAAACATGTAGCAAAATACTGTTAAACATCAACTGTTTTGTTGTTGTGTTGTGATGGATTTTAATAGAGATTTACTGTATTTATAATTGTAATGATGTTTTTATTACTTGTCAGAAATGCTGAGGCAGGGGTTACTTCATACATAAAATGACAGGACCTGTTGTGGTCATGTGAAATGCAGGCCTTCCAAAGAAAATCACATTTAATTGCTTTGTCAGATTAGTGGCAGATTTTAAAGACTGGCATGATACTTTTACTGTGTTTCTGTTAAATCATGATGCTTGTTTGTAATGTGGTAATGTGAGTTGTTTCTCACGGTGGAATGTGACACTATTTAGTTTAGGAGGAACCTGCTGCCTACATCATCAACGTATATTTCCTCTTTCTCCCCTCTTTCATCCATTCTTTCCTTTCTCTTACACATCTTCTGTCCTGCCAACCCTTGGGAAAACAGCCATTTTTTGGGAATTGTTTCCCACCGGCTTGTTCTTATCATTGGTCCCAACTGCCTCTTCTTCATACAATGTACTGGCTTCCTCACTACACTCAGTTCTTCGAGTTTGAAATGGAGGCAGGGAGTTTCTCCAAAATGTTGTCACCTCTCTGCCAAAACATATGCTGTCACATTCTAGAAGACTGTAAATTCGATAATAGTGAGTTCCGATTTAGAATTCATATGAAGTTATAGCTAGAAACAAATATATTTTGTCTCTAGGGACAACTAGAACTTCAACTTTTGCCGGAATAGGAGTGTATAGTAATGTTATCGTAATACATCCTCTGGTACTGTTTAGTTCATGATGTTTTGTGTCACTGACACGCTGGTCAGGGACACAGCAGCACTTACTTGTGCAGTGGCCCTGTGGAAAAATATGGAAGGAACCTCTTGCTATGGCATTTCACAGGCCAGTAAATACTGTAATGTTACATTAGTGCATTTTATATATTAGCATTTGGTAACAGAGCTCTTACATCTTTGAACTGCTGTGGTTTTCAAATTCTGGGTTTTGAGGTACATTTGAATGCCAGAAATATATGTTGAAAGTTATGATGTAATAACAACATAAATTGAAATTGACAGGTTGCAGACAGCTGTAGTGTCTCTTATTGTCATAATTTAATTTGATATTTTAGTATATTTCTCATAAAGTTTATTCAGGCCATCCATAAGTAAATATATTTTACCCAGTTTGGAAATATTACTTGGGTTAGTTTGCAGTTGTATATAAAAAACTAAAATGCAGTATAAAATATTTATTTGAATTTCACATAATATTTTCAAATATTTAATTTAATATTAAGTTGAAGGTGTGTTATTGAACTGACACATATAGTAGACATTTCCCATCATCTCGTTTTGATTACAGGAGGGCGAGGTTTACGAAGTTGGCTCTGCTCATATAATTTTGTAAAAATATGAAACCTCTTCTGTCTGTGAAATATGGTTGATCTCTGTCCCCAGTCTAGGGAGCACAGCCATGTTCTGAAATCTGTGTTTCTTTAGCTGAGATAGCTGCTTGGAAGATGCCCATTGTGTATCTAATATTTTGTGTATGGTATAACCGTCCCTCAACTGATGGCCGTTACCTAGTTTCGCCAAGTGTTTTTTTTGGCTACTTAATGTAACTAGGGCCACCTTTGTTGCGGCGATCCTCACATCTTACTGCTGCTACCTCCATCACCGCGGCTCCCTCCAGCTCTATCCTTGTTAGGATTCTGGTCACCTTCCGCAAGCTCTTTGTGGAACGAGTAGATTAACTTGGGAGGCAGGAAGTGAAATTTGGGTGCCAGTAAGCGTACTTCAGTAACTTACAGCTGAAGGATAACCGGCAGCTGAGTCTGGAGTCCATCCGGCTTTCTC